AAGGGTGTAAGGTGAAATCACAGTTACCCCAACAGGGTGATTCATCTGAATCTTATGACACACACCATAGCAGAGCAACAACCAGAATTAGCTGTGGCCATGCCAGTGCTGACGTGCATAGCTATTCTTTCTTATATAGAGGAAATGACAACAAACTGCATTCAGGGATTAAATCCCTGAGACCCTGTGAAAAACACTTGAAACAAGAGAAGAGGAGGATGTGCTTTGAAAAGCTCCACGTGCCCAAGGGGAAAGAACTTCCATCTGTGTACAGGGGAATCGGAGACAGTCAGGAGCCAGGGCTTGCTAACCAGAGACTCTGTGATCCACAAGGAACAAAGAATGTAATGGGCAACAGTCCACCTAGAAAATCTGTGGGACACAAGCATTCACTCAGACACAGAGATATTGGAGACCAACAGCAGCCAGATGTTGACCATAAAGACTTTGACTCGAACCAAAGAACAAAGAAAGGAATGGGCTGTGACTGCTTTCTGAGTCCCAGTGAGAACCATCCAGTCAAGCACAGGAGAACAGACTGCTTCTGGCCTTCAGTTGCTGCCCAGCCAGCCTCTGACCTCAAGTAGCCCTTACCAGAATAGGTCACAGAACATGTGGCTCAGGCCATCCTTGCCTTCCCACACCAGGATTATCTAGAAGATATCCCACCTGACCTGCCATTGTTTCCCCCATTCCCCCTGGTAATAAATTTGATTTTGTCCCTGAAAAGAAATGGTTTTCTTTTTGGAGCACTTCCTTCTGAGCTTATGATTCTTTCCCAGATAGGAGCTGCTTCCTGGTTCTTGCTCCTGCCTTTCAGCCCAGATGTTTCTGTCCTACAATGATGGAGTACATGAAGGTCAGCATTGCTTCTACCTCAGAGCAGATTATGGAAGAGACAGGGCTTGTGGAAAGGTCACTATGACGTGTCACCCTCACCGAGTCCCATTGCTGTGCAGTTAGTATTAATCTTTCTGTCATGACAGAGACAACAAAAGGGTATACATTTTTCAGGATGAGTCAACTGTGTGAAGACCCCACCCAGGTCTGTGGCCCAGTGTCTTCCCTTCACTATCCCACATTGTTGTGTTACTGTACAGAATGAAGCACAGAGACAATAATCACAAACTTTCATTCCCAGATCCAAGGTCAGAGAACCTCTACCTGCATTTCTAGGACAGACATAGAGATCACCTATCCCAGAAGCCCCTACTCACCTTGATGCAGGCTGAGCCCCTACCACCACTTACCTCAGCTTGGGTGATAGGCAGTGACTATCCACAATCTGTCTTCTTATGAGTAGAGCAGGATCCAGAATAGAATCTGCAATGTGTGGCCATGGGTGGTGACTGAGGGCCTTGTCACACAGGCATGTTCAGTAACACAGCAAAGCCTGCAGAGAAACCACAGACATCCCATTGAGTCCACTCAGTGCCCTCCCTGGAGACCTAAATCTATCCTGTCCAGGCCATCACCCTGCTGACATGTGGACATGCAGCTCACATGATGCTGCTGTACCAGTGCCACTGTGGTTGACACAATGTCTGTCAGCTTGTACATTGTTTCCTGGTGGAAGACTTCTATGCAGATAACTTGGAATCTGGCTTTCCTACTTTAAAATCCTTTGATCTCTGAGGAGACCAAAGATCCTATCAGCACCTGTTGTATGTCAAAGTTCACTCTCCCCTCTTTCCTCCCTCATTTTCTTTCAATTCTGTATCTCTCCCTCAAAGCTCTGAATGAAACATACCATTTTTTCATCTTCCACTACTTCACCAGATCTCAACTCCACTACTTCTTTTCATTTTCTTCATATGTTTTTTATAGTGTAAAATAAAGAAAATATTGCCAAACAAATATGTGATGTCAGCTCATTAGTATAAAACAAACAAATACACAAACACCCAGGGTAATCATCAAGGGTTCTGACAGCCCCTCAAAGCCCATGTGTTCCTCTGTCATCATCCCCGCCCCCTGCAGAGGATGTCACCTTACCTTAGGAACTGCATCCTCACATTTATGTAGAATCTTTATACACTCAGCTTGTATTGCTCAATTTAGCATTCTGGCTCAATCGTACTGTGTTTCCTCTCTATCTGGAATCTTCCATTTAACATGGCAGCATAGGATGATGCACCCTTGCTCGATAGAGCCACATCTGGGTCATTTGTATTAAGTAGTTTCACTTTATTTTAATGGACCCAGATTTCTCTATTCCTTACAAAGTTGACAGATGTTCACAGTCCCCCATTTAGTTGCTGTGATTCCCCTGGAAACTGCTTCCTTCCTACAGAATGCTATAAATAGCTTGTATATGTCTTTTGTTCCAGATTGCATGCACAGAGGTTCCATTACCATATGGGTGCTCTTAATTTGTATCCCTTTGAAACCTCTTTTCCCAATTTCATTCACTTGAGTGACTTTAGTATTGGCCAATGTGGTCAGGGACTTTATTATTTTTGGAGTCTGTTTATATTTCTGTTTTATAACATGCAGCCTAGCCATTCTGCCACTCTTAACAGCCTTTCTCTTCGTTATTTATAGGAACTTATATTCTGGATGTGAGCACTTTATTGGATGTACATCTTGGGAGGAAATTACTCTTTGCCAAGCACTTTCCCCTGGAAATTGAGTTACACATGGCTGTGAGCCTCCATGTGAGTTCTGGGATTCAATTCCTGTTCCTCTCCTGGGCAGCCAGTTCTTTTAACTACTGAGCCACCTCTCCAGTCCCATAGGTCCTAACATTGCACGGGAGGACTTTAACTAGTTAGTCTCTCAAAATAACTTCATTTTCCCCTATATTTTTGCATAGGTGTCAAATTCCTAGGAGAAAAAAAACCCTAAATTTTAATCATGATATTATTGAATCTGAAAAGAGTAAATTGAATTCTCATATTCATCAGGTTAGAATATATTTTGATTACAAATAACCCATACCATTATAAAATTGATTATTTTAAACTGTGAAGATGATGTTACTATTTTACTTTAGGACTATTAAATGTATCTTTTTTTTAATAATGTAAAACTTTATATTCAAGGCCTTTCTAATTTTATTAGATGTTTTTCAAAATGCTAGTCATATTTTAAAATTATGACTACTAAACCAGTGTAATTTTTGTGTTTTTATTTGATTTGTTTTCCTTAAGACTAAAATAGGAAGTTGGGTGGGTAGTGAGGGAGAATTTTTGAAAAGTTGGAGGAAGGGAAAGGATAGGAACAAAGTACAAAATACTTTGTAATAAATAATTACAACAAAAACAAAGATGCTTGGGAAAATAAAACCAGATGTGTTAGTAGACCCTGGTCAAATAAACATAACTAAAGTTTCTGTTTCATATATCAAAAAACTTGGATTGCTGCATATTGGACAGCTAACAAGCTACTTTGCTCACTTCTCAGAGCTTTCTCCTCTGTTCATTTTCTTATAGATTCTTCTGTTAGCAACATGTGCTATTCAAGCTCCACCCCACTTCACACTGAAACTCCATTCCTTCGTATGATATGGGCTTGGAACATAATTAGTTTAGGAACATATAACCTCCTAATTAGAGTGATACCCATGTACATGGACACAGAGAACTTCTAGGTGCTCTATCATCTATGTGTACTGTATGCTTGTGTGGTATGTGTATTTGTGTTTGTTCAAGGCTAGCCTGGTCTACAGAGTGAGTTCCAGGACAACCAGGGCTACACAGAGAAACCCTGTCTCGAAAAAACAACAACAAAAAATGAACAAGTAAAGAAAGGAATCAAAACACTACCAAGCATTCCAATTATCATAGAAGGTTTAGTCAACAATTAGCCACAAGCTTTCTTATGGTTAAGAAATGAACTTCATTTTCCTTACCATTCTATACCCGAAGGCAAAAAGTACATTGTTTTAGATTATATTGAATAATGACACAGCTAAATAAATAAGATACAGAAGTTTTGTGTCTGACTTGAGACCAGCTGTGATCACATAATGAACAGACAGGGATCTGCAGACAGAAGACAACCTGAGAGCATCAGTCCTGAAGACACAACTCAAGTTCCACAGAGAAGCCCACTTTGTCAGAAACTAAGAACCTGATTGACTCAAGTAGATATCTTTTGGGAGACAAAGATACAATGTCAATTTCTGGTTTCTTTAGACACTCAGTTAGGATATGCTGATGTTTTGCTGGGGCAGACAGGGGAAAGAATGTTTTGCTAAAGCAGACAGGTGAAAGAATACATGATGTTTAGAAGGAACATTAATATGACCCCACAGGCAGTGGGAGCTTGAGCTTTGGTTTGATTGCTCTAACTTGCTGCTCATTCTGGGGACACGCTTGTATTAGTTCACCTTATACTGCATTGCTGAACTTCACCTGTCGAGTCTTCTTAGAGAGAAACTCATCAAAGAAGTTCTAGTGAGATTCCGGAAGCTTTTTGCTGCTTCCTTGGACTCAGGCCCCTTGGGTGAGGCTCACAGATTCATCTGCATTGAACTGCCCTTGCTGATTCATGTATGGTGTGTGCCCACTGGACTGCTCTGAAGGGGGTGATTCATGTTTGGTGCTTGATAGGGGACTGGAATGAGAACAACAAAGATTATAATTGCCCTGTACAACTGTTTATATAGAGGTCCACTTCCCCCATATCCTAATAACCTTTCTTTCCCACTTCTGGTGGTTGGTGGGCTAGAGGGGAATTTAACCCTTAGAAAGTAGGTTCAACAAAATATATGCCTACACAGAGGAGTACTGAGGCTCAGGAATAAAGAACAAAACATGAACAGAGATCTATTTGTGCCTGATTCAGCAGCAGGATTTGGAAGGAGGAAGCAGAAGAAGGACACAAGAGGGGATACTAGGCAGGTGGCTGGGGAGGGGATGTGGCAGCCTCTCTCCTGCCAGGAGGCCTTTGTGATGAGGAGGCCACACCTGTGTGATGTGGTCTGAGCCCTCCTGACACACCTCACACTGCACTCCTGGACTCAGTAGCCTGAGAGCTGCACTGCGAATCAGAAGATGGAGAGTTTTCTCACTCTGATGAATAGAGTTAGTGACTCATGGATGAGCCCCAGCTCCATGGACATAGCGATGGACATGACCATTGCAATTATGTGTGGAGTGGGGCTCTTTTTCCTACTACTTCCCTTCCTGAAGGAGTACCCAGTGTCATCACCACCTGAGAGTGAAAGGGACATCCGAAAGATGAGGAGAGCCTTGGTTCACACACAATGGAGCAGCAGTCTGTTGTTCATGACTGTTACTCTCACATTTCTTAGGAAAATAGATTTAGGGACATTTTGGTGTTTTTTAAAAAAAACCATTAACATAAGAACATATTCTTTTATTTTGATCTCAGGTATGAGATATGTGGCTGCTCCAAACTGTCCTCAACAGATGAGTATGACTTGCCTCATGTTCAAGCTGGGGCATAACATTGCCAGCAGCTTATATTTTCTCTGTTCCTGGGACTTTTGGGATTCTAGTTTTTTTCCAGAGAATAGATAAATCTTAGGTCCTTAGGAGACATGGTGGGTTGTCCTTTGTTGCTGGTTGCAAGTCCTTGCTGCTGTTTGTGATTTGTTCAGTAGTTGTGTGAACAGAAGAAAGAATAAAAACATTTTGTTAACCTGTTCAGAAAAGATAAAACATCCCCAAAGAATTCATCCCCCATCATTCCCTGCAATTACAGAAACAAGTCTAACCATAACATCTCCTCCTTTCCCCAATGTCCTTTTTTTTTCTCTCCTATGAAGTATTAGGGGAAAGAATGGGTGGAAGAAAGAACAACCTACAAAGTAACTGAAGTCTAGCTAGACAGGAGAGAGTAAATCTCCAGAAGAGTCAGTAGGGGCTGACAGGCAGGGCAGAGGTGAGAGTGGCCCTGAGCTGTCTGACGTTCTCAGAGCATCTGTACAAGGAGTCAGAGAGCCCACTAAGGACTACTGTGCCTACAAAAACAGACTACACTTCTGAGTTGTTGGGGACACAGAAGAAGCTGAGAGAAAGTTCATCTGTCCTCTATTCAGGCCCTTGTTTTGTTTGGGTTGAGCTGATGTGAAGCAGGTGATGAGACCAAAGGCCTCAGACAATGGCTTGAGTCTCCTCTGGTCTGAGGAGGCACATATCACCTTACAGCCCAGAGCCAGCTGGAGAGTTTAGGCTTCGGCAGGATCTTGTCTGAGGAACACTGAGAATATCCAAGCTAACTATGGCACAGACAGTGCCATCTTCTGTTTTGAAAATAAGGTAACAAAGAAACGTGTTTATGCTCAGTGTGACTGAGTCAAGGATAGATGACAGAATACATGGAAAATGCGGGTTTCACAGAGAGCAGGAAGCTTGTCTACAAGAGATAGGAAGAAGGGTCATCAGCTCATTTGTATTGTTTCTAACTGACAGGATGTGAAGAGGGGGCAGAAGACCAGTAAGAAAACTGTTGCTGGAAAACGTAGGCATCTGCTTTCCTGTGGAGAGAAATTTAGTATGGCCTACCCTTTAGTGAAGAGGACATGATAGGCAGGGAAGAAGAGGTGGCTTCTGTGAAGGAAATTAGGATTCTAGAATTTCCAGGTTTTGTGATAGAAAGGAGCTGTGGTTGGCTGGCCTGGGCGCTACACATGAGAATGTGGTTCACGGCATGGTGTGATACTGTGTCATTGTCTGTGCCCCTGTATGGGGGACTTTGAGGTCCTCCTGACAGCAGGTAGCTTCAATTCTCCCAGCTGCATTTCTCTTTCAGATAACTGACCCTGTGGCCATTACAATGTTGTTAGTGGAATTGCACAGGTTGAGGGAGGAGCAAGGAATGTGTAAATGGAGACATGAGGTCCCTCCATTCCCATTGCTCACTCTCAGTGTTCTGGCCTTGGAATATGGTGGTTGAGCATTAGAGTCCTAACATGGGTAGTCATAAGAGAGATGCCTCAGTCCTGTGTGTTCTCATTTTTTGTCCTGATCCTGCATAACTCTTTCCAGGTTATAGAGATGGAGGAAAAAATATGGAAGAGACCAAGACTCCATCGCAACCAATGAAAAAGTAAGAAATCTTTGTCTCATGAAATATTGCATACCAGAAAGTGAGCTCAGGGTTTGGGGATCTTCATACTGAAGATGATATGCAGTGTGGGATTTGGAGACAGCCATGTTGGGTGTGACACTAAGGGACATGTGATACGGACACAATAGAGGGACTCTAAGAGCACAAGTGCTATGTTTACACAGATGTAGGGGACTCATGATCTGCTGGGTGCATCTGATGTTTTTGTCTCCTGTCTTTTGCAGTGTTAACAAGCAACTTGTTGAGGACTGCACACCACACACATTTTGGGACCCTAGTCAGAAATTGGATCACCTTTCTCTCTCTCAGCTGTTGTCTTACCTCAAGGTCTTGGAGGACACTATACAGCACAAATTTAGTCAACTTTTCTGGGGCATATCCTCTGTTTTCTCTTAATCAGTTGTGGCTACTGCCCATGTCCTTAGAAGTCCACACTTGGGAAAACGTAAATCTGTGAGGTTTATTAATACTTGTGACCCTGACCAAGGTCTATCCCAGGCTAAAGGACCTCCACAGCATTCCAGGTACCAGCCATTACCTCACCAACCTGTGAAACCAAACTTAGTAGGTGTGAAACCAGTCCAAAAAGAGAAAATACCCCCAAGCTATACCCCAAAGCAAATGCCTCCTTGTTTGAAATGCAGGAACTGTGCAGTGCCATGTCCTCCCACTGAGAGGAGGATACAGGCATCCCTACCAATTGAAAGCCTGCCCCGGAAACAGGAACTGTATTCGAAAACTGTCAGAGGTTATGATGACCCAAACCACCTAAATCCCATTAGCAAGCACACTGGGAACTTGCCCAGGGTCAGCCTGGATACTAAAGCTATCAGGCCTGCCTCCATCCTTCCTGAGCACCGTGGGACATCCGAGCACCCTAAGGAGCCACAGGCAACTACTGTGGGAGAACAACAGGGAACCCCCATCAGATTCCTCCCATCCAGGAAACTGACCCAGCCTCAGGGACAAAGCCTGGATCATTATTCCAAGAGCAGTCCTCAACTCTCCCAGCCTGCCCAGCCCTCTATCCCCAACCCTGAAAGCTGCAAATGTAGCAAAATGATGGGGCCTGTAGCTGCAGGGCTGCCCTTAAAGAAGGACATAGCTCAGGCTGATGTGCAAACCACCATCAAGATGGGCCTTGGTATTGGGGCAAAAAAGGTGGCTTACCTTTTATGCAACACCCCTGGAAAGGGGCTGAAACCCAGGAATTCAGCACTGAGGACAGACAAACTGTCTGATATGAACATTGCTGAGCATCATTCCCTGCTGGACTCAAAGACTAAAAGGAAGCTGGCATCAAAGATCACAGAGCTTCCAGGAAAAGACAGAAGAAGAGCATGTCTCCCCATCCTTGAGGCAAGGGATTTCACCCCACCTGGGGCTACAGCTTCAAACCTCCCCCAGTTTGTGTATCCCTCTTCACCCATGTGTGCTTCCAAGGCTGAACAGTACAACAAGGCTGGCAGAGTCCTCCAAAATTTACATCACCAATATCCAGGAGGAACACTGTTAGAAAGTGCACCAGCTGCTAGAATGAAGGGTGCTGTGTTTACAGATTGTATTCCAGAGGTTCAGAAAACCAAAAGAACCCCTCCACCTGCTGCCAGCCATGGGGCCTCAAAGGCCCATCCAGACCCATTTCAGAGATGCATGTATGTACAGCGACCTGCTTTCTACTTTCAGACCGAAAATCCCCAGCAGACCAGGACTATCCGAGGCACTGGAAAAGGCAGCCTGCAACCAAATATGCCAGCTCCCATCAGCCAGGGAGAAAGGCTTGGGAGTGTAAGGCCTTCAATCCTGAGGTCCAAACAGTTAAAGGATACAGCCAAGACTTGCATACCTGAAAAAGGAGAGGGTTCTTCAAAAATCTGTGTGAAGAACGTCCCAAGGAGTGATTTATGTGATGGAAACATCACCACAAAACACACTGGGAAAAGAGATAATTTAAAAAATGTTCACCCTTCACCAGATAATGACCAGACACAGGAGTACTTAACCAAAAAAGACACAATAAATAATATGTTAGCTGAACTGCAATCCCTTGCAAATGTTTTATTTCAGATACTGGAAAACACTGAAGGGGACCCATCCAAAGGGTGTAAAGTGGAATCACTGGCAGCCCAGCAGGGTGACTCATGCCAGTCTCCTGAGAGTCTCTGTGACACCAACCATAGCAGAGGAGAAACCAGAATGAGTTGTGGCCATGCCAACCCCAAGATGTATAACCAGCTCCCCATCCCCAAGGGGAAAGAACTTCGACATGGATACAGGGGAATTGGAGACCAGCAGGAGCCTGGTCTTGTAGACCTGAGAGCCTGTGGCCCAGGTAAAATTAGACCAACGATTGGAGTGGGCCACTATCATCACAGGAGCCCTGAGGGGCACAACCAATCATTAAAATACAGAGAAATTGCAAACAAACTGCAGTCCGGTTTTGATCATAAATACAATGAAAATACACAAAATAAAATAAAAGGAATGGGATATGGCTGCTTTCTGAGTCCCAAAGAGAACGATTCAGTCAAGCGCTGGGGAAATGACTACTCCTGGTCTTCAGATGCTGCCCAGCGAGCTTCTGATTCCAGGTAGACCTTACGAGAATAAATCAAGGAGCAGGTGGCTCAGGCCATCCCTTCCTTCCCACACCAGGATTTTCTAGATGTCCCATCTGCCCAGCCATATTTCCCCCCTGACTCTTGGTAATAAACTTGGTTTTTTTTCCTACAAAGAAACTCTTTTCCTTTCTGAAACTCTTCCTTCCCTGCTCATGGCTCCTTCCCAGATAGGAGCTGCTTCCTGGTTCATTCTCCTGCCTGTCAGCACAGTGGTCTCTGTCCTACAGTGAGGGAGCAGGGGAAGGTCAGCATTGCTTCTGCCTCAGTGCAGTTTATGAAGAGACAGGGCATGTTGGAAGAAGGCACAATAACTAATCACTGTGAAGTTAGTATTAATCTTTCTGTCCTGGCAGAGACAACAAATGGCTACATGTTTTTCAGAATGGCCCAGCCATGTGAAGACCTTACCTAGGTCTGTGGCCCAATGTCTTCCTTTCACTGTCTCACCTTGATGTTTTTTCACTGTAAAGAGTGGTGTGTAGAGACAATAATCACAAACTGTCATTCCCAGTTCCGAGTTAGGAGAATCTCTACCTGCATTTCTAGAACAGACATAGGGATGACCTATCCCAGGATTCCCTCATCACACTGATGTGGGTTGAGCCCCTACCACCATTTATCTCAGCCTGGGTGACAGGGTAGTGACTGTCCACAGCATGCCTTCCTCTCTGACTAGGTCATGGTCCAGAATAGAACCTGCAGTGTGTGACCATGGGTGGTTACTGAGGGCCTTGTCACACAGGCCTGCACAGTAACACAGCAAAGCCTGCAGAGAAACCACAGACACCCCATTGAGTCCACTCAGTGCCCTCCCTGGAGACCTGGATCCATACTGCCCAGGCCACCACCTTGCTGATATGTGGACATGCAGCCTGTGTGATGCAGCACCAGTGCCACTCTGGTGTACACAATGTCTGTCAGCTTGTAGATGGTTTCCTGGTGGAAGGTTTCTTTGTGGATAATTTGGAATCCTACATTCCTACTTTACAATCCTTTGATCTCTGAGGAGACCAAAGAGTCTCTCAGCATCCATTGTCTGTCAAAGTTCAACCTCCCCTCTTTCCTCCCATAATATTCTTTCTATTCTGCATCCCTCCTGCCAAGCCCCAAATGAAACAATCCATTCTTCATCTCCCACTGCTTCAACAGATCTTGAGTCCACTGCTTCTATTGCATTTTCTTCATATGTTTGTTTATAGTGTAAAATGAGGAATATACAGCAAAATGTGTGTGTAATGTCAACTCATTAGTATAAAACAAAAAATGTACAAACATCCAGAGGAACAATGCAGGGTTCTGTCAGACCCTCAAATCCCATGTGCTCCTCTGTCGTCTACCCTTCCTACTGCAGAGGATGTCACCTTACTTTAGGAACCTCCTCCTCACGTTTAAGTAGAATCTTGACACACTGACTTTGTACTGCTCACCACAGCAGCCTGGCTCACTCACACTGTGTCTCCTCTCTGTCTGGAATCTTCCATTTAACATGGTAGCATAGGATGATGCAGCCTTGCTCGGTAGAGCCACATCTGATTCATTTGTATTAAGTTGTTTCACATTATTTTAATGGACTCAGATTTCTCTATTCATTCCAAAGTTGATAGATGTTCACATTCTCTTGCTTAATTGCTGTGACTGCCCTTGAACCTGATGCTGCACACATGAGGCTATTAAAAGCTTGTTCACTTCTTGGGCTCCAGCTCAGGTGTACAGTGCTCCACTGACATGTGGGTTGGTTTATTGTGTGACATCTTGAGGCCTCTTTTCCCAAGCTCAATCACTTCAGTAACTGTAGTATTAGCGGAAGGGGTCTGGGACTTTAGTATATTTGGTGCCTGTTTATATTTCTGTGTAATTACACGCAGCCGAGACATTCTCTCACTCTTAACAGACTTTCTTCTCAATCATTTATAGGAACAGAGTCCCTCTCTTCGTTGTAAATCTTGGCAGGAAATTATTCTATGCGAAGTACTTTCCCCTGGAAATTGAATTACACATGGCTGGGAACAACCATGTAAGTGCTGAGATTTGAACTCTGGTCTTGTCCAAGGTAGCCAGTGTTTATAAATACAGAGCCACCTCTCCAGTCCCATAGGTCCAAATATTGTATGGAAGGACTTTGAATACTTTATCCCTCAAAATAATTTTATTTTGCCCCTTTATTTTTGTATATCTTCAAAATTCAGGGGAAAATCATAAAAATTTATCATTATATTTAATCTTAAACTTGTATATTGAATTCACATTGTAATTAAATTATAATATATCAATTACAATAGCCATTACCATTATTGAAATGATTTTTTTAAACTATGAAGATGATATTACTGTTTTAAATTTAGGAATATTATATGTATGTTTCATAATTTTGTAAAATTTTACCTTCAACGCTTTCCTACTTGTATTAGATATTTTTCTAAATGCAAGTCATGTTTTAAGATTATAACCACTAGACCACTATAATTATGTGGTTTTTATTTGTTTTGTTTTCCTTAAGATAAAATTATGAAGTTCAGTGGGTAGTGGAAGAATTTGTGGAAAGCTGGAGGGAGGAAACAATATAGCCAAAATATATCGTAAGAAATACTTACAAACAAAACAAAACAAATGTTTGGGAAAATAAAAACTGACATATCATACCCTGTTCAAATAAAGATATCTAAGATTCTTTTTATATATGGAAATACATTTTATTTGCTCCATATTGAACGGTTAACCAGCTACTATGCACAATTCTCAGAGCTTTCATCTTTGTTCATTTTCTTATAGATTCTTCTTTTAAATGACATGAATTATCCCTGCTCTACACCACTTTACACTGAAATTCCAGTTACTCCACTGATATAGGCTTTGGGACATACTTAGGTTACTAAGAACATGGATACCCTTGTATATAGAAACAAAGGAACTCTACGTGCTCTGTTGCCAATGTACAGCGTATGTGTGTATTCTTGTGGTATGTGTGTTTTTGTATATGTGTTGTGTATGTGAGTGCACAATTTTCTCTTTGTTTCTTTGGTGAGTGGGTATACCAATAGAAAAGGCCCATCTGCAAACCAGGACAAGAGTCCTCACTACAAACAAATGATATTTGCAACAACTTCCTAATTGAACTTGTCCTTTGAGATGGGCTAGAGTATAAATCCAGAGAAGACTAGGGGAGGGGAACTCCATTAGTATGTGGCAGTAAGTATGTGGAAGACATCAGCATCGCTGCGTAAGAACATTTCTGGTACAACTTTGCAGGGAGGAACACCTGACCCTCTGCAGGCAACCCATAACCTATGCCCTGTAAGTGAGACCTATGCACTCACTGATTCCCAGAGTGGATCCCTTCAGAGTTTGTCAATGGGACCTTAACAAGAAGGGTAGAGGTTAAGTTTCCCCTTGGGAAGAAATTTGATTGACACCTAAGCTGATAAGATTTCACTTGCTTTCTTATATCAGAGTAGGAGGTCTTCAGCAAGATCTGAATCTAGCAGAATATGTGGGTAAATGACAGGAGGTGGAATGACCAGCAGGACCTGATACCTATCCCTTTATCTCAGCTTACACTAGGGTCAGAGGATTGTCTAACTGTTTCTGGTACCTGGCACAGTAGAAGAGATGCTGTCTAGACAGGACTGATATCTAGAAATCTATATTGTGAGTGTCCTCAATATCCTTCTCCTAACAATGTCTACACAGTGTTATCAGGGAGGGAGGTCCATGTCCACTACATATATAGGACTCTAGGTTGATAGGCCATGTTGTATACCACATCAAACTGCACTTGTCAATACAGTGCTATGATCAGATCCTCCTGCAGAGCACCTCCCTGCCTCACATATGTTGGGAATCCGGCCTCACTACATCACACACTATACCTGTATCACCCTTGAACTTCTCTCCAGAGATGACTTGATGGCCAGGCCAAATTCACACAGATTGATGTTGCTGGGTAGAATGCTGTTCTCATTGCTTGGAAAACTGCACCCACTATCTGTGTTAGGAAGTGCTGAGCCTGCTCCTTCTGTAGACAGCCAGACTTCTCAATGGAGCTCACCAGATCTCCCTCAGCAGCACATTCTAGCACCGTAAAGATATGTTTTATAGTTTTGATGATGTGAAACAGCTTTGTTACATTTGGATGGTCTAGAAGCTT